AATCCTCGTCTTGATGAAGTTGCAATAATTTCTAGACAACAGTTTATCAACTTTGCACTACCAGAAATCAATGTCATTGAGAAGATGATTCACCAGTTTCCTCAAAGAACTGGGATACCTTGGGACAACCAAGTGGTAAATTTGATTTCCTAGTAAAGTATACTGCTCCTGAAAGCTCTTGCATCTTGTATGAAGACATCCAACTAACTGGATGGGGAGATTCACTTGTACATAAGAATACGTATGGAAAAACAACATAAGACCTCTATTCTAATAACTCTGCATGGGAAGAAGACTCTACTGACCCAACTCCACCAGAAGTTAGCTCTATTATTGAAGTTATCCTAGGAGAGATGTGTCAAACTTTGTGATACATATAGGAGTTCATCATAATTGGATAGTTGTTGATGTCCCGAATGTTGTTCACATCTCAAAGTAATTGCCTCGTTTTTATTTTGATCGCTCACCTTGTCCAAGTGAAAGGATGTTTTATAGAGCCTCCCTTGTCTCTAAATTTCCCGCATTTATTGCTATTTTTATTTTTTTCTTATTTTTTCTCAAGGAAATAGTAATCTTAAAACAAACAAAAAAATGAATAACAAAAAGTTAAAAAAAAAAAAAACTGCACACACTTTTTTGTGTGCGTGTGTGATATATATATATATATATATATATATATATATATATATATATATATATATATATATATATATATATATATATATATATATATATATATATATATATATATATATATATATATATATATATATATATATATATATATATATATATATATATATATATATATATATATATACATACATATATATATATATATATATATATATATATATATATATATATATATATATATATATATATATATATATATATATATATATATATATATATATATAGAGAGAGAGAGAGAGAGAGAGAGAGAGAGAGAGAGAGTTGAGAGAGTTTTCACTAGGATCTATAGAGGTTCGGTCGATTTCTCGACTGAATCCTCTTCCCTAGAAACAAACCTCTATAGAGCTTCCACTAATAATATGTATTGAGCTTTTATAAGGTTATACCCACTAACCTTATTAAAATCTATTGAGATATTTTATAAGAATGATCCCTTAAACCAAGAGTGAAGCCTTTCACAGACTAAACTCACAAGCCAAAAACAATATTTTAACCAACTAACCTCAGAATCCAAACATAGATTTTTTAGGAGAAACTCCGCAACCAACAAAGAGATACTTCAGGAGAATTGCACTCTTGATAAAATAGTTGAACAATAGTACAATTAAATCCTCACAAAATTATTTCACTCACAAAGGCACTAAGACAACTTTTAGTGGAAGAAAAAAAAAATAAGAGAGAGGTTTAAATAAGAGAAGAGTGATTTAAAATTAAATTCAAGTGTGTGAAATTGTAAGGAGGCACCCTCTTTATATAAGAGAAAATGTAGTTAAAAAAGGAAAATGATCCATGGGCTTTTTAATGCTATAAACGATTATCTGTATCCAATAATCGTTTATGTAGTTCAAAATTGGAAAGTTTTCAATCTCTATGTTACTAATTGACTACAAACCTTAATAGCCGATTATGAGGTGAGATATTCGTTAAAATATAATTGACTATCCAATTTGATTTTCACTCATAATTGATTATTTGAACTTGTAATTAATTAGCTATATGCGAAAAACATTTTTGGGGGATTTTATCAAAGAGATAGGGTCTTCAAAAAAATTGTGTGTAAGAGAGTTTCCTTGGTAACTTATAAGTTAATCTACCATTTTACAATACTCTGGTCACTCAAATATTGTGTTAAGCGTACAACAAACCATGCAAGATTTTACACTTCCTCTCTTTAAAAATTTTGAAGCTTCAAGTCCCTCACTATATTATATTTGACTTTAGCTCTTTATGGAATCTTAGATCTTCTCTTTGATGAGGCTGGAGATAGCTTCAAGATGAGCAACATCATTAGAGACAAGTGAAAGCACAAAGATCCATAGTCTGGTCTTTAAGCACCATCACTTAATCCATATATCAGATGATATCATCTGAGCCAATTAAGCCTTGAACAGCAAGACTGATAAAGACTTCTCTTATAAGCATTGTCAATATCAAAATCAAATCAACAAGTTTTTGCATACTTCATACAAGCAAGCACATAGATCCACAAAACTAGCAATAACACTTGTAATAGAAAACTCTTCAACATAATCAAGCGAAAAAACCTTCTCAAATGGAGGAAACCTTCAATCAGTTTATGCAAAAATAAAATAAAATAAAAAATTTAAAAATTGTGTAACTTGAGCAAGGGACAAGTAACAAGAACACAAAAGCATCTAACAGAAAATTAGGGACACAAATTTAGAAACTCTCAAAATAGTTGGCAACTAAGTCTAGGAACAAATATGAAGGAAATACATTTGACAATCTCAATAATAATGAAAGATGTTATGCGTTGAGTGTTACGAGGAATATGTTTGTTAAGATTTTAAAACCTATGCATAATATAAGATCATCATCCAAAAAGAATGAAGTGGAGAGTGATTGTGAATAGAGAAATAAAAAAGTTATTTAAGTTTAAAAAAAGGTTAGAGAAGAGAAAAAGCTATGACCTTAAGAGAGAAAAATAAAAGGAAAGAAATTGTAGTACTTAAGCCATTAACATCCCCGCCTATTCAGAAGAAAGACTTTAAAAAAGAGAGAAATATATGAATTCTATCACATTGTTCAACAATTTACATGTAACCATATCATTATCAGAGGCACTTCAGTAGATTCTTGCATATATAAAAATATTGAAAGAACTCCTAACGAAGAAGAGGCAATTCCCGAATAGTGAAAGAGTAAAATTGTTGGAAAGATACAGTAAATCATTCTATTAAAGCTTCCACCAAAGCAACCATATTTAAGTATTTTTAACATACTTTGTACCATAATCCAATTAAAAATTCTAGATCATTGTGTGACTTGGAGGCAAACATATCTAAGTATTTTTAACATACTTTGTACCATAATCCAATTAAAAATTCTAGATCATTGTGTGACTTGGAGGCAAACATTAGTTTTATGTCGCTCTCTATGATGAGAAAATTAGAAGAAAAAGTAAGCTTCACAAATATGAAGTTAACGTTAGTAAATAAATCTTCCATAGTTCGTAATAAGATAATGGAGGATTATTAGTGAAAGTTGGAACAGTTATACATTCTATTTATTTTGTAATTGTCTTTATTGAAGAAGAATGTTAATTTCATATCATCTTAGGTATGTCATTCTTGCGTACTGCCATGACAAACATTGACATATAAGTTGGAAAGCTTAGGCTCAAATTTTGGAGAAAAAAATATGATAAACAAAATGTATGATGGATTGTAATTTTTGGAGGATAATTCAGAAGAGAATAATGAGAAGTTGCAGCAAGTACACAAAGATGAAGAAGAAGTGTCACCCCCAACCAAGTGAAAGGCGATATAAAAACAAGTTGAAGACTTCTATCCTCTAATAGAAGAAAAACATTATAACATAACTTGTTCAAAGGCCAGGGAATAGAACTATACACTTAGAATTGAAAAGGTTTGGTTCTCAAGGACAAAGAAATCAAAAAAGAAGCCAAATCTAATTTCTCTGCACTTGCTAAAACCTATCTATCCACCGACACTAAAGGTTGAAGTATGACGAGTAATTGAGATGGTGAAAATAAACAAGATTGATGAAAGATATGATATGAAGTATCCTCATTAACATATGTCAACCTAATGACATTAAATGATCGTTGGATGGTAGGCAATCCATCAAAATTAGAGTTTTTTTTGTTTCTTTATTTTCATTTTTAATTTAGCATATTTAAATGTTTTTATAATTATACTAGACTAAATTTAGTTAGGACAAAAGAAAAAATGAGAATTTTTTGAATTTTGTAGAGAGTAACAACGTGGTCCTTCATAAGTGGTGCGATTTGAATTTTCTGGACCATTTTAGTGTCACTCTCTATCCCTAACGCGAAAAGATTGTATCACTCAACTAAATTTATAACGATTTTCATTCTCTTACTAGTACTACTAAAAAATATTTTAATTATTAAACGATTACTTTTTCCATTTCATCCATTTTTTAAACTAGTACTACTAAAAAATATTTTTATTATTAAACGACTATTTTTTCCATTTCATCCACTTTCGAAACAACGGAATGAGAAACGTTTTATGTTTCTTCATAAAATTCTCAAACAATATAATGAAATATATATTCTCTTCTGGTTTGTTTTTGCTTTTATATGGCTCCATTTTATTTCATTTTTTTATTTAAAAATATTCAAACATGTTCTTGGAGTTAACATGATTATCGATGCTCTTGCGATAAATTTAAGGTTTTTCAAATATACATTTAATTAGATTGCATATACTTAGAAATTAAATATTTGATGGTGTCTTGACCTTGAACTATCAGAGCGTTGTAAATATAAGACATCTTTCCTGGTGGAAAAACTATATCGAATACCGGACCGATTATTTGCGTAATACACTCCAGATTTTTGTTTTCAAGTGCAGAAACCTCAGTATCAGAAGGGGGGGATTTATTGTCATATTGCGTAACGTCATCCATTTATTTCAAAAAACCTATCATTAACATTAGAAGATAAAATATTTTCAATAAATTATATTATTTTCTTAACATTTTCTTTTTCATGTTATATTTTTGTCAATAGATTACTAAATTTACATATTTGTGTCGTTCAAATGATGCTTTAAATTTAAATTTTGATAAAAGAGAGCAATATTTTTTTAATCTTTTGGCTTAATAGACATAATGTTATTATTTAAAAAAACATGAAATCAATGTCATTTGAACTAAATTACATGTAACGATAGAAACTATTGAAAAATATGTGACATAAAATTATTGTTAGTGCATAAAAAAACATAAGAATACCAGAGACGAAAAGAAAAACAAGAAAGTTCAACTTCATTCATTTCTCTTTTACAAATATTCTAAGATTTATAAGCAAAAATCTTAAATTTGTACAGATTTTGGCTAATCTGATGAATCGAAGCTACTATAGCAACAAGGGAGATAAATAAACACAAACAATTCAAAAGCTGGAGCGCACACCATTTTAGTGACAATACTTTTATGTTCTTTTGAGCTATATGCATTTGTACAGGGAAAAAAACAACTAAGGGTCCAAATCCGAGCGCTCCTAGGAGAGAAAGAACTTCGTTGAAAAATGGCATTGCCATGGCAAGAACTGTTGCTATTATCACAAATATCGTCCTCCAAATTAGCCTAAACAAGTTCATATTGATTGTTATATTGCACATGCTAATTGGGTAATCTTTGTTTATGAAATTTGATTCAGGCCATGTAGTGTTTGCACCTATTTCAATAATACGAAAAAACGGTTGAGCCATCACCTGTAAGATAACATTAAATTATCAAATGTATACATTAAAACCTGAACAAAATAGTATACAAGAATAATTCACATACAAATATATTTCATTATTAAATTGAAATAGTAATTATCAAACCTGATATGCTCCAACCATGTGGATAATTATACATATATCTCCGATTGCAACTAACCAGAACGGTTCATAAAATCCACCAAAAATATTTCCTGGTGTTTTATCACCAAAAGCAGCATATCCAAGACAACTACATAGTAGAAATATTATTGTCATGGTTGAGAGTCCAGTTAAGTTAGCCTTTTTCATTTGTTTACTTTCTGACGGAGGTGACCTTAATGTATCCTAAAAAACAATGAAATGATAAAATTTAGGATAATAACTAAAGCAATAAGCGTTATGAGAAGATTTGAGACCTAGTAGTGTGATTCTCTGTAGGTTTTTTTTCTAATGTCAAGTGATAATAATTATTGTATTAGACCTCTTTAGATAGATTTTTTTTTAAAATTATATAGGTAATCATAATAAATAAATAAATAAATAAATATTAATTTTGTACCATTATATCATAAATAACCATAGCGTAATTGCAAGCCAGTGCTATGTTTCCCAATGAACTGCAAGACCTCCAAATTTTATCGGTGACAGATAACTCTGGTCCTATTTTTATTCCGAATAGGCTGGTTGGTGCACCTTTTCCTATTCTTAGCCAAAATATCTTTGTTATTAGTCAAAATATTATAAATTCAGAAATTTCAAAACTATATAATATACATTAAAAAAAAGTCAATAACAAAGTATATATATATATATATATATATATATATATATATATATATATATATATATATATATATATATATATATATATATATATATATATATATATATATATATATATATATATATATATATATATATATATATATATATATATATATATATATATATATATATTACATAAATTAATATTAAAAATACCTGAAATAAGTACTGAAAGACAAAGGCCAATTGCAATTAATACATAGCCAAAAGAGGTGCAAGCAGCAATAGATGATAACCATGTCAACGTGTGAAAGTTTGGAATTTGAGACAACAAAAGCTGCAATGTCCCAAAACCAATCATGTATGGATTATAAGAACTTGTGCAATCAGCTCGTTTTCCTTTTCTACGGAGACAGAATGATTTTCCTAAAGCTCTGAAATATGTTTCATTTGCAGTCATATATAAAAAAAAAATACAAATCAAATTCGTATTCAAAACTTTTTATATTAACTAATATTTAGTTTTGTAACATAATAAGTGTAAAGATGCATATAAAGTTACAAGTAAGTTTTTAATGTAGTAACATACGCTAAGCTTGTAGATGAAGTTATTGTGTAACCAACTGTGATTCCAGCCAGCTTAGAATACAAAATTATTCCACAAATCACATGCATTGTTCCACCTATTGTCAAATAAAAATATAAAAATAAAATAAATTGAAATATGTCAAATATATATATATTTGAAACTTTCATTTTCTTTATTAAATTATCATCTAAGATAAGACTATACAAGTATACCTAAATAGCACTTGACAGCTTGCATGTAAGTATAATTTCTTTTTCCATTGACCGGATCTGGAAACCTATAACAATCGGCTGTAAGATTGTAAGTGAAAAGAGAAATTGATGCAAAAAGTAATACACTGAGTACACCGATTATCCATCCTAATTGTGCCATGGCCCATGCTAAAGCCAACACTCCTGCACCAATTACCACTGTTATGATGTGTGTGGTAGCAGTCCACACATTTCCTGCACATTGTACACCAAAAATTAATATTATTATACAATTTTTATACCTAGTAATACATCTTCTGTCACATTATTATCTAATTATAAAAATTTTAATAATTTTTTTAAGTCAAATCGGTTATTACACATACATTTATTATATAAATATTCAATTAAGAATGAATTGAAGTGTATGTGAATGATGTTCCAAACAATCAAACCAAATACACAAGAAAATAAAGTAAAGAAAACACATTGATGTAAATATGGAGAGAAAATCTATGATCGTTATTAATAAGGTTTTACAAAATTTAAATAAATAAATAAAATCATAAATGATAAACTATAATTTTTTAAAATCAACCATTCTTAAAATCTCTTTTTCTCTCGACAAATAATGAAACTCATTCTATTTGCTCTTCAATTCTAATATTACAATTACCATGTAATTTTGTAAAATTTCTTTTTAAATAAAAATATTTAAAAAAAACCATGATTCTAATCATATTTATTATGATGATTTGAACCATATTACATGCAGGAAATCAAAAACACACTTTATGAAAATATTATATGAATTAAAATGAGTCAATTCAAGTTATGCAAAACTCAAACAATTTATTTAAAAGCATATTTATCATACATAAATACATTAAGTACGAGTCTTATAAATTTCAATTACAAAATGGGGCTAAAAGAATAGGTTTGTAGTATAATATATTGATACTTTTTAATGAGTATCCTTTTAAACTTAGAAAAACAAAAGCCTAGCAATTTTATTATAACTAGAAAACAATTCGTGGGACTCGCACGGATTAGTTATACCTATTTTTATGTAAAGTGTTTTAAAAATTTATATTAATTGTTAGTAATTTAAAATTAATAATATATTTGATTGATTAAAATATATAACATAAAGTTAATTGATATAGTTAAAATTAAGTGATAAAAGGAATTTTAAAATATTTTTTAGAAGTTTTATTGATCACCAAAGTTCTTAATAATAACTCATTTAAAACAAAACAAAAAGAGAAAAAAATGTTTGAACAAATTATATTATTGAATTATTAGTATTTTAATTTTTTTGAGTATATAACTTTCAAAATGCTAAAAAATGATAATAAGAAAATATAGGTTTATATATAAAAAATATTGCTTATATTTAAGACTATTGTAACTTTTTATTTGTATGTAAGCTCATTGAAATTTTTTTATTGTTTATACTTAAGACTATTGAAACTTTTTATTTGTATTTAAATTTATTGTAATTTTTTTATTTATATTTGAGATCGGAATATATATATATATATATATATATATATATATATATATATATATATATATATATATATATATATATATATATATATATATATATATATATATATATATATATATATATATATATATATATATATATATATATATATATATATATATATATATATATATATATATATATATATATATATATATATATATATATATATATATATATATATATATATATATATATATATATATATATATATATATATATATAAAGTAATGGCATATGTCAACTTTATCTTTTTTTTATATGGTCTAATTATTTTATTACCAAATAAATAACTAAAAATTAAAAGATATAATTTGAACAAGACACAATTGTTTTTAATTTATTAATTAATTAAATCTAGTTTTTACACACTTATTCTAAAATTTTATTATTACTGATAAGAATCTGAGAAAATGAGTTTGATCTTTTCTTGGATCTGAGTTATCTTGTCATACTTTTATACAACTAATAGTCTGAACATGTTTAGCATAAAAAAGATGACTGTATTCTAAAAAATTGTGCGTAATTTTATATATAATTCCTTTAAACAGCATCTCTCTATCACGTACGTTGTATATTTTATTTTCTAGCCATGCACAACAACAAGATCTATTTTATTTGGATCTCTCTATTGCACGTACTAATTCCTATGAAAAACTTCTAAAAAAGAATGTGATATCTCTGCCAGTGTTTGTGTCTGAAATCGAATTAAAAATTTTATTCACTTTAATTTATTTATCTTTTAAATTATTATCACTAATGTGCTGATATGTGTTTTTAGTGTTCGTGATTCATGCGATATACGATGCAGTGACAAAATTAATAAATCAATAGAGATTTGCATGATTCATGAGAAATAGAAGCAGAAATTAAATGCAGTTTCATATTCAAATGGATCAAATAACAACATATTACAGTGATTTGGAATAAACATGATGAATGTGAGAGGAGATATAAAGAGAGAATACCAGTTCTCTTTCTGCCATCATCATTTTGATTGTGTTCCTGATCCATTAGAGTTTCACGGTGCTAATTGCTTCGGCTAATTATGTTTTTATGCACTATTCAATGGTGTCCAAACCGATTTATGCGGAAACAGTTATCTGTTCCAAAAAATGGACACTTGGATGTACGGAAGCCAATCCAATAATTTTGTATATTATAATAAATAATAAATAAATAAATGGAAGAATAATTAAATATGATATATTGACTAAATATTTATGTTAATTTATTTACCCCAAAAGGCTCCACATGTCAATTTTCAATAGACATCTATTCTGGCCATTAATGCATTCATTATATGAACCAGCTTTGGGGAGAGTTTATAAACATAAATTACACAGAATGCTTTGAAGAAACTCCATGTACAGCAAGAACCAGCAATCTTTCATGCCACTTTGGCTTCACAAGTTCTACCATAGTCATTAAGTGTATCCTCCGTTCTATGCTTCTTCATGCCATGTTTTGATTCAACCACCACTATGCTGAAATTTACGAAGTGAGATGAGGTGCAAATGCATCCCTCTAAGTCCAAGCATTCTAGGACCTGCAACCTACATCGCATAGATACCTCGGAAAAATGGCGTGTGTTCGTGTCAAGGTTAGACACCTGTATCGACACTTCTGATTATGTTTTATTTATTTATTTTTTAAAATTAATATCAGTATTACCGTGTCAGTATTTGAATCGTGTTTGCGGTGTCTGTGCTTCACTGTCCTCTTAAAAAACAACTATGTGAAAATTATGAAGAGGTTCAATATCCCGTAAGCAACTTCATTCAGAATTTTTTTTTGCACATGATATTTATGGGTATCAATTGACACATTTGATTGATAAGTCTCTGACGACATAAAACGGTTTCAAGACAACGCTGTCGCGCCCTCTCTCGTAATCTTCGGCCTCGAAATCTCCCAATTACTCGACACCACATAGTTATTCTTTGCTCAGCAACTTACCTCCTTATCACTCTTTTCATTCCTTGTCGACTTTGCTTCCACCTCTTTTGTAGGTGACATCAACGCTTGAGAAGAGTTTCGTTAAGAAATCATAATTGTTGATGAATTAGTGAGATGGTTTCTGAACACAGTAGTGCAAGTATCTGATGCAGCAACATGGGAATATAGCTGCAAATTTAACATTCCGTCCAAGTCAGTTATTGAATCAAAAAGGGACAGAGTGAATTATCATACCTTTAGTTTCCTGTGTGGTGATGTATATATATATGGTGGTTGTTTAGATGGCTTTAGCATGGCAATTAGACCTTCCTTTTTTGGGTCTTGCGGACGGTCCAGAAAGGTTTTCTATAAAACTTGTCATAGCGTAGCGAATGAGAAGTCTTTGCAGAAAACTAGGTCGTTTACATTACCCGAGAAAAGAAAAATGTTTGGAGGTCAGTATGAGAAGTTTAGGACACATGTGCATTAAAAACTAGTATCATCATTGAGACGTTTTGCAAGCCTTTTTTGACCCATGGCCCTAGATTTCTAGGCTAGGGCGTGACACTTCTCTGCTTGAGTGTACTCAAGTGTCATTTGTATTTTCAAGGCAGATCTTAACCGTTGTTTCTTCATCTTTCCACTTTCTCTCCTCTTGGATCGTTAATCTAATAATCCTATTTCACTATTTAAAGATCATTTCCATCCTTCAAACAATTTTTTGCTCTTTCTGCAATCTGAGATTTTCCCATTTCCTTGCAAACTTTGACCTCCGTTCTTGAACTCTAGTGACCTTTAATTTTTTCATATTTCCTTTCTGTTTTGATTTTGCATTTGCTTATTCATCGCCGTCTCTAAGTTCCTTTGCTTTTAAATATTTCTTCGACTCACTTCTTCTTTAGGTATCATTCTTATATTTTTTTTTTGTTTTTCCATGATCAATGTAGGAAATATACCATAAAATATGTCAAACACCCCTAATGGGGATGATTCTTCATCGTCCATTGAAATAAAACACCGTTATATGTCAAATATTGACCCGTTAGAGGTTAATCGATCCAACCCAAACCTCATCATTCTTAGAGATGGTTTTTGGTTTGGTGATGGCTCTTTAAAAGATGGTGATAGACCCTCTAGTACCTCTTCTGAGATTTAGGATCCACCGCAATTGCTCGTGATGAGCGGAGGATTCATTGTTTCATTAGGACCTTTTAGGGAGGCATATGGTAGGAACCTTAGTGATATGAATATAACGGAACACAACAATTTTTGAAGTCATTTTCTAGTTCATGAGTGACATTACCTTTTTCATGCTAGTTGGGTGAACATGCTTTGGCGGGAGTGTGACAGTCTTGTAGAGTCGGCTAATGGTTAACAATATTGTTCGGTAGATCCTATAATGTTGGGGATAATGTCCTCCTTTGGTAGCGCGACTAGTGTAGAGAACGCCTGCATAGATGGGGGTTTGTCTTCAGGCAGGCCAGTCTTCCATGTTGAATATAGGAATAGGATTTGTAACTTTTCTGATGGGTGTTCCATCCATTAATATGAGTGAATATTATTTAGGATAAAACCTAGGTTACCCTTCAATGAATTTAAGGAAGGGGTGCTAAGATATCTAAGTGTTAGACGATGACGCAGATCTAGAAGGGGGGTTGAATAGATCGCTTGTTTAAAACAGGGTCGGTGCTACCAAAAGTTGGTTTTTAAAATTTGTTTAAGGCAGAAGCGGCCGGGGAACTATACACGTCTAAAACAAACGGTTACTAGAAAATCGGATATGCATAAAGCCTATGAAATTTGATAAACGAGATATGAGAATCACTACTTCAATCACACGTCAATTAGATTATGTTCACTATAAGGTGTGACTAGTTCCAATGCCTTTAAAATATAGACAATTTGAAAAGACAACACAAGATGTTTTTAGTTCACACAACTGATCAAACACTTGGAGTGTAGAGCACTACAAGTGAATTCTATTTTGAGAGTTGAGTGCTCAAGTTTTCTATTACAATCAATGATTGTAATTGGCTTAAAAATAGTTCCGCACAACTCAAATCAGAATTTGATTGACACAACCATTTGCACTAAAAACTCAGAAATTTAGCAATATAAACGTAAAGAAAAAGAGACAATGATTTATTTAGGCAGTTCCTCCGTCGTCCTCGCTCGGGGTACGTCTGCCTTCAATTCTAACAATAGAATTGAGACCTGTATATAGATAGATATAACCTGTTGGTCAATGTTTATACAAGAAGTAAATAAAGATCAAACAATCGAACACAATTTGTTGTTGTAGAGCCTATTTCTTCTTGCCCCTTGATTTAAGTTGAATCAAGTACTTCGAACGCAGTTAATAAACTCCGATTATGGCACGCTCTTTGAACAACCCTCGATCTTCAAATCTGGCCCGACTGATTTTAGTCACCCACGTGTCGAACCTGAATCTCCCACTCACAATCCTCCAGCTCTTCGATTACCTTCGTTCGGCGGAATCTGTGATGGAACGATTCGTGCAAAAACCCCCAAAATCTGAGATTCTTGGAGGACAAAACCCTAACGGTTTTATTCAAGAAAAACCTGCCGATTACTCAACCCAAACCAGATTAAACCAATCTTTGACTTTGGACGTTATCACCTCGAACATGCATAATGCACAACAAAAATGATTATGTGCAGTTGTTGTGAAATGCTATGAAGAGAATGAAGATGATGAGAACCAAATCGACACGTAAATTTTACTTTTCTTGTTTTCTTAGTCGTTGTGAAAAGAAAGTACAACTCAACTTATATAAAAAACATAACTGACATAACAAACAAAGCAGACTCACAAGAGCAGTTAACATAACATAATTTTGACACAAAACAGCAAGCGGTCGACCTATGCAGTAGAGGGGTCGACCTGAGCTTACATGAATTCAAGATTGTACAGAAATCAGGACCATGCTTTAACCGGAGCATGACATGCGTCGACGCACAACATACAATTTTAGCTAAATACAAATGGTCACAGTATGAGTCGACTGGAGGGTCGACGTGATCCCTTCTGAGACTAATTCATTAAAATGACTCAATGTGTGAGTCGACTGGAGCAGGTTTTGGGTCGACTCAAAACCCTGAAATAGGCAAAAATGCCCATTTTCATGCATTAAGACACATTTGATGAAACCTATAGTATGGAAAACAAAACCAACTAAGCCAACCCTATATGAAACATAGATTTGGCCATCTCTATATGCAACAATCATGTTTTTGACGAGCGTTTGACTTATGAGAGACAAGACATGCAAATATGACACGGTGACAACGTCCAACATACATTCTTCTATGAAGCTGAGTTTTGACATCATCAAAATAAGCACATCTATATATGAGGCTTTTCCATCACACTAAGAATAACCCCTTCTCAAATGCACCCAGTTAAATCTAAAACTATTGGGTCTAAAACGACTTTGACTGGGAATCAAGTGACTACACTATGCCTTTTAAATCTCTGACTCTAGAGGAAGGATCGACAAGATATGATTTGATAACCTGCTAGGAGCGATTATGCTTCAAGGAAGAAGCCTACCCTTACGATGCAAGGTATTCCATGAAAAGGAGGTGGTTTATTAATACCTTAGGGGTAGTGGATGCGACCATTTCTCAAGAGATGATCAAGAATTTACCTTTATATTTGTCTTTGTAATTACCGTCTTTTTTCTTTTTATAGATAATATGGTGTCTATCAAGAATCTCTCTAGGAGGAGGAAAACTATCATTACGATTGAACCTCCTCCCTCTTTGGCTACAGTTGAGGAGTTTGTGGGAACATCCCCCACGGCGTGGGTTCATGCAGCCCAGGCTGAACAATGTGGTGCATCGGTGCAATGTGTCCATTTCCCGAAAGGAAGAGTAAAAAGGTGAATGATCAACCTTGTTATGCGTCCAAGGATAACAATAAGAGAGATTTGAGTAAATACTCAATCCAAGATCAGAAGTCGGCTAAGAAATGTAAATCATTAGGGAACTGGAGTAAGCTTTGACGTCATTGGGGTTCATGCTCAGCCAAAGTTTAGATCCCTTTTTCCTTC